GGGATGTTGTCACAAACAGTCCCTGTGAAGAGGGACTCCAGACGGGGCCTTGACTCCGCTCTTCAAGGAAAGCAAACTCCAACATCGCTCTTGAAACCTGTTTTTATTAAACTTAGCATCGGGGCTGYGATGAGTGACGGGAGAAATTAGTGTGAAATGTTTACAAAGCATTGCATTTCCCACTCKGAGCGTTTCCAGAGGCGGCTGTCTCCTTCAGGTGTTTGATGTGGAGCAGTCAGTTTGTGCTTTCACTGTTAATCCTGCTTTAACCGCTGCTGTGAAATGAGGAAAAAGGATTGCGTTGCAKGGACTTTATTCAGCTTATCCTGGTTTATTCAAGGCCATTAGGCTGAGCATATGTTCTGCTTGTGCCTTGAAATAGAGCTGAGCCTTGCTGGGAGCATGGGGCTGCAGGGTTTCACCTTAAATTTGGGGACAAACCTTGGAAAAGAGCTTGGACAAACCCTTGACCCTTCACAGCTGGGTCTGCTCAGTCCTGTTTGCTGTAGGAACAGCAGCTGCTTTTGAAGATACACACAAAATAACCTGCAGTAGGAAATAATAATAATCAGAGCTGAGCCCCGGAGTTGTGTCACTCTCTGTTCAGTCAGAACATCCAATTCGTGGTGTTGGGGTGCAGATTTGTGCTCCCAAAACAGGAGGGGAAGGTCTTGAAGCTCCTGAGATAAATAAAATAGCAGGTTTTCCTAGCTTTCATTCTCTGCCTGGATTTAGCTGATGCGTTTTCAGMTCCAGCCCCACAGAGCAAAGCTATAGACTGGCAAAAAAATTAGTAAGTCAGTATTGTGAAATTCACTTCAAACTCCCATGAAATTCAGCAGGTTTCTATGTTTGTTTGTTTATTTTTAGTCAGCTTCTTAAACAGAGACTTGATTTGTTTTTTCCCGGTGCATGTAAACTGTATATGAAACAGACACTAACTTTTATATAGATGGGAGGAAATAGTCACTGGCATAATTATGAAAATTCGGTCTTTCAGGACTTGAAAAAAAAGTGCTGTAGAATGTGTTCATCTCTCAGGAATTTTTTTATGTCTATGGGCAGATATAGTTAACTTCTCAGTGTACAGTCCACTTYTAGTTTCACATTTCTTTGGTAGTCTGGCAAGCCCTTCTGTCTGTTAGAATGAGGATCTTCAGCTTAGTGGGAAAAGAACATTATTTTTAAAGCTTGGATTGGTGCTGTTGACATTGCTGCCACCTGAATTAAGAGACCTGACTTCATTTTTGCTGGATACTGCCATGCTTATCAGCACTKCATCTTTGATTTTTTTAAAGTGAGTCTATTTGGAAGGAATCTTGTTTTCCTGCAATGTTTGAGGGAAAGATGAAGACAATGCTCCCCGGCCAATATTGCCTTGTTGCAGCTGGAACAGGATGAATTTCCTGCGGCCTTTCTTGCAAGGAAAGCACCATTAAAGCTGGGATTAAGCACAAAAAAACTGCAAATGTTCTCTCAGGGCCGTCCCCTYCTCTGCTATAATCAATTGCTCTTGGCACTGGCATATCTAAAATAAATAAATTGTGGGGTAATGGTTGTGTTTGTCTACGGAGCACAATTGCTTTTTGAGCAGTGTGATTGTGCTGTGCCCATGGGAGTCAGGTATGGAGAGGGTGGGAAAATCCTCCTGGAGTGCTGTGTCCTGCACTGCAGGGACTCCTGATGGTCATCCCATGTGTGGTCAGTGCCTCCTGTCCCCTCCCCAGCCAGGGGGACACTCCTGGACTCCTCCTCAGTCCCTCTGCTCTCCCTGGACTGGGAACTGGGTTATGATAAACGTGCCAAGGCTGACAGGTTGTTACTGCCTCCGCTTCTGGCTTCTCCTGCTGAAGAAAAGCATCAAAAACGAYTCCTATAGAGGCCTGATTTTGGGAGGATTACTGTGGTCAGCTGTTGGTGGCAGCATTCTTTAAAAAAGGTTTTCAAACTGGGGTCTCAGGAGCTTTACTCTTGAAAACCTTCAAGTTCAAAGTTGTACTTTTTGCCTTCCTGTCATCATCAAAAGTGGAAAATGCTCCATTGGTGGTGGGTGATCATTTAGTGTTTGGTGCCAATAACTGGAGTAATTTTATTAATCCCTAGTGAGGAGGCTGCAAAAGCTGAATGAGGGTCTTTTCCTGTGTGTGGGGTGTCCCGAGTCCCTCTGTCCCTGTGTCCATCTGTCCATCTGTGACTCCAGCGAGTTCCTGAGCGCTGGCAGAGCTGAGCGGCAGCATTGGTCTGGAGAGGTGTCAGGACTGGCTGGGGCTGTTTGGCTGTCACAGAATAGACTCAGACAGGTTTATTTGGACTCTGGGGAATCCTTAGGATAAAGCAGTGTTTTATTGGAGGCTCATCCTGGTGGGAGTTGGCTCCCAGCTCCCCGAGGTGGTGGAGGCACCTCCATCTGAGGTGGTGACCAAGACAGGGGCAAGTGAGGGATTCAGTGCTGATTAAACCTTGCCTAAGCCTTGAGAAATGAGTTTTTTGTAGCCAGATTTACCCTTTGCAAGGTCTGACTCCAGCAGGAAGAGTGGGGAGCACCTGGCTGGGGTTCCAGTGTGCACCCCTAACCCAGCTCTGCAGTGGTGACTTTGCCAAGCTCACACAGGAAATTCTAAAAAGGATCTGTGAACAGCCCAGCAGTTAAATCCAGCTCTACCTGAACTGCTGCTGGGCTTAACCCAACCTTTCTGCTATCCAGAACTGTGTGATGGTTCTAGGTAAAGCTGATAAACATTTTATCAATGGAATTGTCAATAAATTGCTTTTTTTAGGGGTTTGCACTGTCATGAGATCTCAGGGTTACGGTGTCATAGCATGCTGGGGTTTTCCTCAGTGAAGAAGGAAAAAAATTCAAGCTGTATCTTGGAAAGTATTGCAGGAATTTGCTTGTCCATCCCCGAGCCTGATTTTGGTCAATGGTCTGAGGATTTTTTTTTCCCTTTTGCCAAGAAAGAAATCTCTAATGGAAGTCGATAATTTTGACCTTCACATTCCCTTGGGAACAGCTGCAGTGCACATCTGCCTCTTTCAAAGGAAAATGTAATCCCTTTACAGCCTGAAAAGGGAACCTGAATGCCATTGTAGAAAGGGTTAATTTTGAAGGTTTTTGTTGGCTCAGGTAGCTTTTGCTTTGGGCTGTATTAATTCACAGCTGAGGTTAATTTTGAGGGATGAACAGTTTTTTAGSCTAAAGTTTGTAGTCAGCATCCAAGTCAGGAAATGGGGAAAGTTGTGYTTCCAGTCAAAGTTGTATTTCCAGCTGCAAATTCAGTCACTCTGCACATTTGTCTGTTTTGTGGCACATATCTTAAAATAGGGAGCAGCGTTTTTYTGTCCACTTATGGGGAAAGAATGGGGACAGACTGTGTGACATGGGGTGGCTGAAGGCCATGGAGCCAAAGGGATTTTGTGTGCACAAAATTGGTTTGATTTGATTCCAGAGGAGCTGAGACCCCTTTACCTGCCCATCAGCTTGGCCTGGCATCTCTTGGTTTCCCTGAGTTTGTTTAACTGTACCAGTGGCACAGATTTACAGGCAGAGAATGTCTATAATGTGCTTTCCCTTAATAATAATGGAAGTTGTTATTGTTGTTCCCAGCAGCACAGATGGTTTGGGAGGGAGGAGGGAGGGCTGGCTGGGGCTTTTMAGAAGAAAAGTGTAACTTAAGGTCCATAGCTGCAAACATCACCTTTTAAACCCCCATGAATCTGTCCTTGCTGAGCTCCAACCTCCCTTTACAACCTGATCCTAATGCTTTTGGTAAACAAGAAAATATCCAGGAAAAATGAATRTTTATCCCTGTACAGGCAGGGCTGTGCTCTGTAAGGAGCAGAATCTCCTGCTGCTCAGCTGTGCTGCTCTGTGACCATTCAGGAGCTCCTTGGGTGTGATGGAGACAGAGGGTGGGAGTGTTTGGAAATCTTTTCTTTATCTGTGGGAGTGTGGCCCTGGGCAGTGTTGGCTGGCAGAGCTCACAGCCTGCCAGGAGGAGCAGCTTGGAAGAGCCTCTGTTTCTGTTCAAAACCTCAAAAACAGGAGCTGTCGGGGCCTTTTGAACTCRCTGATCAAAAAGCAGGGCTTGGGAGGATCTCCAGGAAGCCAGAGCATGGCCTTGGAAATGGTGTCTTTGAACATCTATTCAGTTGGGGTTTTTATCCGGGCTCATGTTGTCTCTCTGTTGCTGTGACAGATTGGAAATCAATTTTTTTCTATATTTATTTAAATGACAGGTGGCTCCTGTGTAGTTCGGACTTGGGGCTTTAGAGAAAATCAAGTTCTTAATGCAGTGGAAGTTGACAGTGCTCAGTGTCTGTCTCCTCAGTGTTACATTTAAGCCATCTATTTTAAACCCAGGGTTGGAGTATTGCTGACTTCACAGGGATTTGGCTTCCTGACAAGCGTTTGGCTCTGAAAAATCTTTATATTCTTACGTGCAAAGTCTGTTGTCAGGCGTACTGAATGGGTCTGCACCCAGTTCTGGGTTGGGACCTGCAGGAGGCTGCTGGTGCCACAGCAAAATATTGATGTGACCAAAAACTGTTGCCACCAATCAGGTCAATATTTTGAATTTCTCCAGAAAATTCACACAAAGGAGAACCTTTAAATTAAGCCTGCCTTTAATTCTGGCAAAGAAATGTGTTTTAGGTGCAAATATGCCTTAAACTGAAGCAGTGCCCTCTGGCAGGGGGCTGGGATGGGTTGGACTCAACTCCAGCATCCTCTGGGATGGATGCCTGCCTGTGGAACAATCCCTCACAGAATGGGATGCCAGTAGCTGCTTGGTTTTTTTCCCCTGGTTTATTTTTCCAAGCAAGCACTCTGGCGTGCTGCATTTTCTTTGATATTTGACATTCTGCTGCAAGAACTTGTTCAGTTTTTCAAACAAAGGAACAATCAAAGGCTGAGGGTCCTGTTGCTGTAACCTCTGGTAGCTGCACCCAGGAATTGTGCCTCATTAATGTTGTGCTTTATTCTTTTTTTTTCTCCCTTGCAGGGGCAGTAAGCCAGAGATGACTGACAAGATGTCGAGCTTCCTTCATATTGGAGATATTTGTTCTCTCTATGCAGAGGGCTCAACAAATGGATTTATTAGCACTTTGGGGTAAGAAGAGCTGTTCTCTTGTATTCCAAACACCCTAAGGAGGACTAGCAGAGCTCAGCTGCCTCTGCTGAGCCTGGTCCCAGGGAACACTGGGTAGAGCAAGGGAGCTTTAGGGACAGATTTGGCCTTAAATTTAAACCTGGCCTGAAGTTAATGTGGTGAGATAGATTTTGGGAGGCTGGAGAATGTATCAGTGGCTGTGGTGTGGTTTCTGTCCTTGGTGGGGAGGAGGAGCCTTGTTGAGTGGAGGTGTGGGTAGGGGGAATGAATGCAACCCAATTATTTTCATGTTGTTGTGTGTCCCGTGTCCATCCGTGTGTCCCGTCCTGTCCCTCCCTGCCCCTCCCCAGTCAGGATGGACAGACCCCCGTGCACTCTGCTGCCTGCACAAAAGGATGGAGCACAGGCAGTGCAAGTAGTTAAAAAAAAAAGCTATATATCTAGAAAAATAACCAAATCCCCAAGCCAAATGGTTTAAACACCACTACGACTTGTTGCCTTAAAACTGAAGTTTAATTTGAGGTTTCTCCCACAAATGAAATTGTTCTTCTCCCATCCAAGGAGGAGATGTTTGGAGCCCTGTGCTTTGCTGGAGCTCAGTGGCTGCTGCCCCCAGTGTGATCCCCTTGGTGCTGCCCTCCCCAAGGACAGGGACAGGTGATTGCTACTCTGTTAACCAAAAAAAGTAGCTTTTCACGTGGGGAAAGGAAGAGCTGGCGGAGCAAACCACGGAATTGGAGCGCAGCTCTGAGGAGGGCCAGGGAATGTTTGATCCCACTGAGGAGGAACCTCTGCAAACATCAGGAGCTGCTTGGGGAGGAGCTCTGGCAGGGTGAGGAGCCCCAAGAGAACATTTCCCCCATTCCCAAAGCTGTGAGAGGGGAGCAGCGTGTGCCACGGAGCCAGGGCCACGCACACAACCTGCTCTCTGTCATTTCCAGTAGCCCTAGGGGCCTCAGGGTGGGTTCAGTCACAGCACATTTTTTTGATGCCTCCAGYCCAGCTGCAGCTGCTGAGTGGAGCTCCCAAGCAGGGTACAGAAACAGCATCCTGGTAAGTGCCTCGGCAGGAAGCGATGGGCTGCAATCTCACCTGAGTGACTCCAAACTAACTTGTAGGTTTAGTCCTCTAGCTATTAGGATTCTGGAAAATAAGGGGGCAGAGAAGGAAGCAGACACTGAAGATGCACCATGATCTATTATAGGAAAGAGAAGAAAATATGGGATGCTGCCAGAAAGGAAAGAAGGTATGATAAAAGCAAGGGATGTAGTAAGTAGGGTTGGTTGAATAGTATTTGGCGAATGTATTTGACAAATTTCCCAGGTCCTCGTCAAATATGACACGTGCACTGTGCAGCCCTGGATMAGCTGTGTGACGGGCCAAATACTATCTGCTGAACACTGGCACCATGAATTATCCTGTACATCTGCCTCTTGTTCTTCCTCCCAGTCCCCGAGCGAGTTTGGCAGTAAATAATTCCAGACCAAGTAGAAAGTTGTCGTGTCATGTGGAATCCCATGCGGTGCATGATGACCAGTTTGCAGTGGCTGTGGCTTCTGATGGCATTGCTGAGCAGATATTTTTCACCATGGCTAGTCCTTTGGGACTGTACAGGCCCCAAGCACGTGTGTTTGCTGGGCTCGATGGGATGTTCTCCTGGCAGCCCCAAAGAGTGTTCCAGCCTTTAATTTGGTTAGTGCTCTTTTAGGGTAATCCCTGCATTATAGAATGGCCACGTATCTTCTGAGCCTAATTTTGAGCCAGAAATCCTAATTGCTATGTGAAACATGAAATGCATTATCATCTTAATAAGCCTTTCTAATCGAATTAGTTTTGTCCCATATTTAATTTAGTCTTTGTCCCGGAGAAAATTAAAGCAGCGAAGGAAAGATTTGGTGTAATTGTCCTTTAGACCATGTGGAGTTTTGACAGTCTGATGTCATAACCATGTGTAATGACTTGTTATGTGCTTACTGAAGGTTGAGGAGCAGATACCACTCTACATTCTAATGCTGTCCTAAACCTCTGAAGAGTGTTCCTGTTTAATATTCCTMTGACATGTTGCTTAATCAGGACTCTGCTCTTGCTGTTTCCCAAACTCAGTGCTGTCCTCATGATGATTACTGGTGTACAACCTATCCTCCTTCGTGTTTTTCACCCTGTAAAATTTTTCCTTTTCTAGTTTGGGAAGYTCCTCTTTACCTTCAACTCAATCTCAGATGAGAGGGATCTGTTGCACTGAGATTATCTGTGTGGGATGATCAGAGTAACCCATTTCCTTGATATTTTTTGGCCCTTTGTTCAGGTGCTTCAGCTCAAACATTAATKCCATTCACGTTGGAGCACCTATTTGTATATGTAGTACTGAGTAGGGAGAAAATCCATGGGGAAAAAAAGCAATTCACTCTGAATGTTTGCATATGCAAATTTTAGATGCATAGGACTGTTGAGCCCACTTAGTTTTTCTCTGATCTCTGAATTTTCATGCACTTCTTATTTTCTCTAATTGTTGTCTGAAGATGCTCCCTGCATGTGGCCAGCCTCTGCAAGGAACAACTCTCATATTCTAGGTCTCAGTCTTTCTCAAGTTGATTCTGCATGACAATGGACCTCTCAAACCTCTGACCTTGGAGTTTTACTTTCTACGTTTGTGTAGAARGCCTCTTTGACAGATTGCTTTTAAGGGGCCAAATTGAGGTGTTTGGGATCAAACCAAACCTCACCTTTGGGTGCAGGTGCAATTTTCCAATTTGGAAGTGGTAAAAGTGCAATTCCACCTTGATCCAAACCTGCTCGGGCAGAGCTGTGGGAACAGGTGGTGCTTACATTTCCTTCATTCTGTGGGATTTCGATGATCCTGTGGGTTTTTGCAGGGATGGAGAGCTCTGTCCTGGCATTCCCTGTTGGAATCTCTTAGGTTTACTCACCCAGCTTGCTTCCTGACAGAACAGGAGGAGRTTTTCTCCATCCCTTGCCTCACCTTGTGTTTGGCTGGTGAGCAGGAGGGTACTTTTGTGCCTTCCTTTCTTTTGGGAGTCAATTTTCATTGTGGCAGTGACCATTTCTGCCACTTCCCAATGCTGGAGGGCTCACAGGGTCAGTGCCCAGTTGGCACAGTTGCCATATTTCCCTGTTCATTCACGCATTTGCAGCGTGACTCAAATCTGTCCAAGAGGCAGGACCTGTCCTGAGGCTGTCTGTCACCTCCCTAGAATATGGGCTGTTCTGTCTGCACCTCGAGCAGGGCACACAGAGACGATGCAGAACCCAGGAGCAATGACTGATTTATGGTCCCTCCTCCCAGGAGCGCAGCTCTGGGCAACACTAAAAACTAGCTGCATGCTTCTTAGAAAGATCTGGCATAARTTGGCATTTGGGGAATGTCTTCTGCTGAAGTGGCCACTCGGATGAAATATTGCAAATGAGCGACTTTGGTTTTGTTGAGAAGGATGYGAGGGGCTGCAGGGGGATGGAATCTCACTTCACTGCTCATTTCTTTGCAGCCTTGTGGATGATCGGTGTGTTGTACAGCCAGAAGCAGGTGATCTTAACAACCCACCCAAAAAATTCAGAGGTAAGTTGGTCAGACAGCTCCTTACCCTTCTGCTGAGAAAGGATTCTTCATTCTGTGCGGTGATGTGAAATGATTTCTGACCTCTGTGCTTTCTGGAGCATTTTTTTAGTGTCATCTCCTTCCATGGAGGGCAACTGAAGAGGAAAAATGTGTGTGTTGGATGTCTGTGGGATTGTGGTGGTTTAATCTGAGTGGGATGGGGGAGAGAATTGGGAGAGGAAAAGAGAAAAACTCATGTATTGAGGTAGTGAGAGTTTAATAGGTAAAGGAAAAGCTTCACACACGAGCAAAGCAAAGCAAGGAATTGATTCCCCATTTCCCATGGGCAGGCAGATGTGGGGTCAGGACAAAAGCCATCACTCCAGATGCCCCAGCTCTGTGTCCTGGTGTGTTCTGGGCTGTCCTGGGGTCAGCTGTGCCCCCCAGCTCCTGGTGCACCCCCAATCCTCACAGGAGGGGTGAGGAGCAGAGATCTGASTGTGTGAGCCCTGCTCAGCAATAASTGAAACATCCCTGTGTTATCAACAGARTCCAGCACAAATCCAGAGCCTGGCTCTACCAGCTGCTGCCAAGAAAATTAACTCTGTCCCAGCCAAACCCAGCAAGTGAGAAGAAAGCTTTGTGAGGTGATGGGGTTGAGATGTTAGTTGTTTGTTTTTCAGATCTTCCAGGATCCCTGGAATTTTTTTTCCATTCTATCTCATGTTATTTTTAATTACCAAATTAATACAAGTMCCAAACCTGTTTCAGAGAGGAGGAAAATAAAAAGGAGCAAGTGCTTGCCACTGCTATWGTTGTCTGACCTAATTTGATATGAGCTACCTTGAGCCTTGCTTTCATTCTGCCAGGAAACTCAWGCTCAGTGATAAGGAATCAGTGCTGCTGCTTTGCAGTTTGGCAAGGGCTGGCTCCTTCAAGAAGGGCCTCAGACAGGAAGAGAAGCACTAACTGGGATTTTGTTTGCAAAGACCTGGAATTCTTTTTCTCACCCCTGGGTTGCATCTTTTACCTGGGCGATAATTCAGCTAAATATTCTTCGGTTTTGGTCTGGATTTTGTTGTTTCAGGTGTAGCAGCAATTGTGTGTCTGGTTTCTGGGGATGAATCTTGTTTCCTTGGTTATGTTTTGCCTTTACCAGGGCCTCAAAATCACCATAATTCCGTTCAGGTTTGGCCAGAACTGCAGGAGATTGCCCTTGACAACCATGTGCCATCTGTCCTGCTAGTTTTGCTTGCTGTTATTTGGGTGGGTTTGGGGTTTTTTTGTTTTGTTTTTTTTTTGCCATGACATGATGTCTCATGTAATGAAACTCTCCTTTTAAAATCCTGCTGAACTCTGTGAGTTCTTGTTGCTTTTTCTCCCCTTTTCCTGGAAAACTGAAGAGCTGATAATTGAAACCCTACAGAGGCAACCTGGGGAGGTTTCAGCATTCAGTGTTAAGCTCTCCAAAACAGAACAATGTTGTTATGTGAAGCAGAGCCTCGACTCGAGGCATTCTTGATGTTAAAATCATATGAAAGAATAAAACCAGATTTGACTGAGACTGCTGGGTGCAGAAGGAGGCGGAGGGAGAGAGAGAAAAGAATGAGAAAAAGGCAATTCTTGCTAGCACAGTTTAGGAACTGCAAGTACAGAGAGACATTTGTCTGACATAAAACACCGTGGTTAGACATTGTAAATGTTCTCATATTACTTATAATTTATACAGGGAGAAAGAATGGTGTGAACCTTTTCCAACCTTTGTAGTTGCCTCAGTAAAGCTTTCATGGGGAAGTTTATGCTTAATGGTAAATGGCAACAAAAGTCATAAAATTTTAGCAGGCTTTTCTGTTATTTATACACATACTTTGTAAGTGTAGTCTGAGATAAAATGCTTTCCATGGTAAATATGTGCAGAAGAGGGAATGATGAAGTTTATCACCTCATCTTCACCAGAAATGGAAAATACCCCATTTTTATRGAGAAGTTGGAWGGGGTTTGGAGWAACTGGGATAGGGGGAGGARTYCCTGTCCCCTCCTGACAGGGACACTGAGCCTGGGACCTTTGGCCAGGCTGGAGAATCTTATTTTTGGTACCATTTTAAGTGTCAATCTGTCTTCTGTGGGCAGATGTAAAGCAGTTGTAAATATAAATTTCATGCTTAATCAATGTGAGGAGAGATTTCTAGAAGTGAGATTGACTGCTTAGATATGTGTGCATGATTCCCATGAGAATTCAGAGTGAAACTCAAGCYCCTGTATCCAGAATGAATCCATCCTGCTTTTAATATGAACTATAGGTGTTTCAGGGTGTAAAATGTGTTGCATTTAATCCCTCCTATATGGTGGCAGGGAGAGAGGGGTCTGCCAGCAACGTGAGCATCTGCTGGTCCTAAACACTGCTAACCTTCTCCTGATGGGGAAATAAGCCTGCTCCTAAAAACAGCCACTTCCCAGCAGAGCCAGAGCTGGGGTTTGTGTGCCAGGAAAGCACTGTTGAGAAAAAAAAATCAGCTTTGAGTTGTCCTGAGRCTCCTTGGGCGAGGAAAGGTGGCTGTGAGCGTGGTGGATGGAGGATGTGCAGCAGAGGGAAGGGAACAGAGGGATCCTGAGGACACTGGGATGTGTTTTGTTGACACAAGTTGTGGAAAAAGCAGGCTGACAGATGGATGTGGTGGTGGGGGAGCCCTGCGAGGGGTGAGGCGCAAGAGGAGCTGAGAGTCAGAGGGGGTGGTGCTCAGGGTTGGAGTAAAAGTGTAAATGAAACGGTAAAAAAAAAAGGAATTCCAGGGTTACGAGATGGAAAAAAGGTTGGGAAGAATTCCAGAGGAAGTTAGAGCAGCACCCTCGAGTTCCTGGGAGTGTTTATCTGCAATTCTTTCACCTGGTGAATGCTGGGGGGGTTCCAGGTCATTAAATACTCATTTGATCACTCATTTGATCACTTAGCTTTTTTCCATCCCAATCAGGATTTCTTAGCACCTGAGCTCAGTGGTTTGGGATTGGATGGTAATTATGGTCTATGAGATTTCATAGGATTTTTTTTTTTTTATTCTGGCTTTCTGTGTCCACTTTGAATTTGGTAGTTTGGGTGTGTTTGGGTTTGTTTTTTTCCAAGTACAGTTTTTCTCTGGCCCTTGGTGCTTTCAGCTCCAAATAATTCTAAAACTACCTTGCAAAATGTGAAGACTGAAGAGTACATTCATTAGGGAGTTTCTTTTAAAAAATGTCAGTATGAAAATTCTTGCAAAAGAGTTTTTTTTTGCTTAACTATTATAAATGTTCTGTGTACAGATGAGATTCCTGGAAGCAATCCTACTTGTACGAGTCTCCAGGAAAAGAAAGAGTGTGACAGTTCCAGTTATCTGCACATTTAATGTTTTTAYTCAGCTCCAACCCCTGCTCTAATTGCCATCTTTGAGTGTGACTGTGCAGCTGAGGAGTGGCTATAAATGAATTTTTACATGGATGGATTGATGTGGGAAGTGTGTAAACCCTCASCTGGGTAAAAAACYACTGGAAATATCCCTGGAAATTTCCCTGGAAATCCTTGCTGCTGCAATGCCCAGGGAGATAGATCCTGCTGTGCAGGTGGAGGTGCTGGAACTGCAGCAGAGCCCAGCAGAGCTCAGGGATGTTGGTTTTTGTGCTGCTCTGTGCCTTTGCAGAGCTTTGTTTGTGTTGTTTTGTGCTRGAGCTCAGCCCTGCACCCAGCCAAACGTGTTTGTTTAACACAAGACACTGCTACTACAGCAAAGCAATGTGTCTGACAGCCTTCCCAGGAAATTCCTGTMGTGGGGATGCAGAGCTCTGTGCCAGAGCTGCCTCAAACTCCAGCAGAAAGGGCAYGCACGGGGTTAATTTGTCCAGCAGCTCCCTCCCTCCAGAACATTGTTTTAGTAGTTGCTGGGCAACACTCTTTTTTTGGCAAGATGTTGAAGGAATGAACCCATATCTTMGACTTAAAATACCCTCATGGTGAAGCAGGAGAGGAGCAGTTCAAATTGTGTTTGTTCTTTTGATCCTAATCCATCCTGGGCTGCTGTTTCTGCAGGTGCTGGGGCCAGCATGGGGCAGCTCAGCCCTGGAGCTGCAGCAGGAAAAAAAAAACCCTGGCAGCTTCAATTTGTAAATATGTGGGTATAAAAACTGTATTTGGTGTGAATCRTGGCATGGCTTGGGTTGGAAGGGTTAAAGCTGATTTTATTCCATTTTCTGCCATGGTAGGGACACCTCCCACCATCCCAGGGTTCTCTAAACCCTGTCCAGCCTGGCCTTGGGCTGGAAACATCCCTGGAGTGTCCAAGGCCAGGCTGGACATTGGGGTTTGGGACACAGCAAAGTGTCCCTGCCATGGCTGGGGTGACACTTTGGGACTCTGAGGTCCCTTCCAACCCCAACCATTCTGGGGTTCTGTGTTGTTGTGCTTCGCAGAGAGTGAATTAATGACCCTGTACCAGGGTCCCCCACCCTCTCAGCCAGAAATTCCTTCCCAATATCCAGCCACAGTTTASATGGATATTCCTGAGCTATCCCTGAAGTGCTTCTCCCCAGCAGAAATGTTTTTTTTTGTTTTGCCCTTCAGAGCTGTGCCATTGGTGATCTGAGCTCTCCCMACTCGTGCTTTGTGTTAGATGAAGRMAACTCCATATGGAGCAAAAATATGAAGGAAATCAGTGATTGATGCAGGTCTGATGGAAGCTCTGGAATTCTGTTGCACACATACACATTATTTACCCTTATTTAGCCAGGGCAAGCTTGTTTATAGYTCGGCATCAGGGCTGAGATTAAGGGATTCTTTCTGTTGCAGGGTCACATACATAATTTCCCCAAACACTCCTGAAAATTGSAAAACCAGCTAAAACAAACAACCAGGTCCCTCTGTCTGTTAGTTTTGGAGGAATATGAGCAGCATATAGAGTGCCCTTTGTAGGCTGTGAGGTGGTTCAGTGGCACCCCTGCGTTCATCACGGATTTTCTGTGGGATCAGCCTGAGGTTCCTSTGTTCAGCCCTG